TATAAATACGAGTGTCTCACGTATCTAGACGTGTACCAAGCTGCACTGACGAGGCGTTGAACGCCGAAACATGCATGTCTGCAGATTGTACTATTACGCTCCTTCACTTCATACATATATATTATATATTACGCTCCTTCACTTCATACATATATATATTATATATATATATATATATATATATATATATATATATATATATATATATATATATATATATATATATATATATCATGGGGTATAAATACGATATATATATATATATATATCATGGGGTATAAATACGAGTGTCTCACGTATCTAGACGTGTACCAAGCTGCACTGACGAGACGTTGAACGCCGAAACATGCATGTCTGCAGATTGTACTATATATATTTAACAATTATACCATGAGCTCGAGTCGTATATGAGCTGATAGCCGACGAGGTGCGTAGCACCGAGTCGGCTATCAGCCATATACGACGAGAGCGAATAATATAGTCTAATATAGCCATTAACTGAAGCAGCAATTAATTATTCACTGTTACAATGTGTTGACAATTCGGCCAAAAACCGCTTGAAAATTTGAAATACTTTTGTTTTACAACTCGAAGACGAAGTGAAAGAAATGGTTTTAGAACCTCTATATCTCACAGGAATGCTCAGATATATTATACAGATGTTTGGTACTATAGTAAGTGCTTGTTGACTGCAAATTCATTTGTCGTTCATTGCAAACTTTTCTGAACAATTTATATTCTCAATGAACATGTTTTTTCGCTGTTGTTTCGGTATTAATTCTTTGAAAAACTTGTATTTAAACTAATTTCTACGTAATAAATGTATTTTGCTAACCTGTCAAATTTTTTTTGAGAGTTTTTCCTTGTACTATTATGTTTTTCAAAGCGAATATTTTCCTTTTTCTGCTTCGCAAAACTCATGTAGTTTTTGGACCGCCATCTTGTTTTTCGCTACTCGCCATATATGAGCTGATATACGGCGAGTAATTCAACCAATCAGATTGCAGAACAGCTCATATATATATATATATATGATTTATAAACACATCGACCCGACGGAAGAAGAGTAATCTGTCCCTACTTAAAAGATGACATGTCTTGTCACAAAGGCGGCAGACGTTTTCTTTCTTCATGTTCGGATATTCGTGTATCTACTCGTAAGTAGGTACTCTGCCTGTCCGGCTGTGGATTAGTGAAGCATCACTATATTGTGTGGAGCATCACTATACTATGTGGATTAGTGAAGCATCACTGTATATGAAGCATCACTATATATATCACTATATGATGTGTATTTATGACCTTCTGGTATCTGCTTTTCGCCGTCGACATGGGAAAGGAACAGAGCAAGCTCAAGCCGAGAGATCTCCACGAATTGACAACAATGACGAAATTCAGGGAGCAGGAAATCAAAATTTATCACAAGGAATTTCCAAAAGGGAGTAAATCTGGAACGGTGACGGTGAATGATTTGAAAAAGTTGTGCTCGAATTTCTTCCGGGACGGAGACCCATCGGAGTTTGCCGAGCACATATTTCGGATTTTTGACCAAAATGGCGACGGTGTATTGGACTTTCACGAGCTGATTGTGTCGAAGGCGATACTGAAGAAAGGCGATGTCAACGAAAGAGTAAAATGGGCGTTTGATATTTATGATATTGATGGCAATGGGTATATAACAAGGTAATAATACTTTTAAATCTGAGAACGTATGGCTAAATTGCAGTATATCAATCCACTTTTGAAGGTATCACCTGTTATCATGATACTCGATGATACGAAGTGAAAATGATTACGTAATAACTATATAACCGCGCTATTATAAAAACCTGGGTAACCTATATTTTTGCGTGATACGATGATATAAACATGATTACGTAAACAGCATATGTTTCTTTCTTTAATAATACAAAAACAATAAACTAAACACCATATACTTCTTTCGTTAAACCAAAACGCCTCTAAATATCAATTAATACTGCGTTCACTCATACGTTTTTACTTTTAGCGCGAAAAACAAGCTAAAGCCAACCCACATATAATACATTGCATACTCACAAAATATTCCCCCTGCATCTCCAGTATGACTAAATAAAACATTCATCCGTTATGCATATCAGAAGAGACATTAGGCCTACAAACCACGTTTTTAATTGCCTCGTTCTCAGTTTCAATATTCTAATTGTTCACAAACATATTTATCAATTCTGAACTACTTTTAGTATGTATATATGTGTTTGCCTTGTTCTTTGAAAGCACGTATCAATATATACACAAATGTATGTATACAGCTATTTCAATTAAGGTTGTCCACGAGCAAAGCGGAAAAGTCGAATACGAGCGCGAGAGGCTGCTGGGAATCGCTTTGAAAATTCATTAGTCTGTTAGCGATTCCCACTAGCAGTCTTTCGCGCTCGTATTCAACTTTTCCGCTTTGCTCGTGGACAACCTTAAGGTTGCTCCCTAGGGTTTTATTTCCGGGGGTTACGTTCTTCGTATATATGTAATCAAAATATAGTAAAAATTGCCAAAATTAAACCCAAATTTCTCCCTTTTCCATCGGTGAAATTTTTTAAAACTTTGCACATTTTTCACATTGACACAACAAGTGCAATTTCCTTTTTTCTTAAAATTAAATTGACGTTTTTAAATTTTTTTAAGAAACGTATCGATTTAATTTTTTTAAATTGAGGAAAAAAATCATTATACAAGTATTATCTTTTATGCGAAGTTTTAAAAAATTTCACCGAAGGGAATTTTCAAAATGACTTGGAAAAGACAAATTTTGAGCTTTATTCTAAGCATGCTGCTGTCATGACAACATATTTTTAACACAAAAGTAGCAATTTGCAATGTTCAGGAGAACATTGTCAATGTGTCCAATAAATTTCGTCTTCATATCATGTAAACTGAAGAAACAAGATTCTCCTGAATACTATAGACTGTAGTAATTAAAAAACCCTAGGGAGCCACCTTAATTGAAATAGCTGTATATAATTTCAGACATGTATATGTCATACCATTTTAGACGAGATTATCTAAAGTGCGAGCTGCGAGTTGCGAGTTACGAGTATATTGTTAATTTAATATCGGGTTTAATTTTAACCTAGCCTGCGTGGCAGGCCCTCAAATTTATGGGGGCAGGATTTTCGCGGGCTCCGGGGGAGAATTAAGGGCCTGCAGGAAAGCCCGCCTTTCGTGACTACACGCCCCAGTCATAACATAATTAATTGGTTTCTAAAAATATTCGCACGTAAACATGTCAATCAAACCAAATTGCGAATTATTAAACTCAATATTATAATAGAATTTAATACAATATTGCAGATTTTGTAAATGTTGTTTTAAATTAAACAGCAATTTGGCAATTTTACGAAAATTGTTCATGTTTCAACACAAAACCATCAAGAAAACAATCTTTCGGAATTGTGCTCTCAGATTATATGTGAGAAAGTTGGCCTCAAGAAAAATTCTAAAAGTGCATGAGCTTGTAACGGAATTAAAATCTTTTGTTAATACACTACAGTACTACACGAGAAGTTTCAACACCATTACCAGCCCAAAGATGTAGAAACATCAGGAAAGCGTAAACTGTTAATTCCTGACCCGCTGACCGTGGCGCTAGTCCATTCAACCAAACTGAATCAAATCGCGTTTGTTCTCCGCTATGTTTTCAAACAGGTAGGCCGGGTAGTATGTCTAGAACTGAATCGAAATCTGCGCGTAAAAGTGCTTGTTCAGCAGCAATGCAAAAGATGATCTCACTGGCCAGTCATCAAGAAATAGCACAGGTACTGCAGACAACGTGGATGTAAATACTGATTCTGACGATGTACCGAAGTAAGCTGAACATCGACGGCTTGAAAACGTGTGAAGGGCGTTCGTCACGATCGTGACTAAAACACCACACGAGTACATACGAGTAACATACGAGTACATACGAGTACATACGAGTAACATACGAGTAACACACGAGTAACATACAAGTACACACGAGTAACATACGAGTACATACGAGTACATACGAGTACATACGAGTAAAATACGAGAATTAGCACGCTTTCTTTAAAGTTTCTTTCACTTTCACACTTTCACTTTGGCTTCGTATTATGTTCATGTTGTAAATGCCTTATTGACATAGGCGTACGAGACAGGGGGTAGGGGGGGAGGGCAACTGCCCCCCAAAATTGTGGAAAACCATGGAAATTCGGGCAAACGCTAGGAAAAATCAAGAAAATTCGGGCAGATTTATGAGAAAATATGTTAAAATCAGGTTATTTCTTTACAATTCTCCATAAAAATTCAGGCAAACTTTCAACCCCCCCCCCCCCAGAAAACATCAGCCCCGTTCTCCCATGCGTATTGATGGATTTCGAAGCCTCGCACGACGTAGAAAAAGTAATTAATTAATATATATAGAATAAAGATTTGTATGTTCTAAGACTCTGAAAAGGTTTAAATGTAGTATATTGCTCACAGGCTGTCAGAGAGCTTTTGTAGTATATGAAAGTGCATGTTTGCCATGTTGTTTATACGTCTGTAGTCTATGTGTTTTGCAAATTTAATACGTGAATTGTACACCGGGAAATATAAAATACTTAGGGTTCATTATTTATCGGTTGGGGAGGGGGGAAGGAGCTGTTGGATTCTAAAATTCAAACAACATAATAAAAATGACCCTCCCTTTTAATGTGTTTAAAAATGTAGTCCACCCCTTTAGAATTTTTAAAATTAAAATTTTTCACCCCCCTCCAACAATAAAGTTAAGAAGAACATAGTATGGCCGTATGGTAGTTTTTCCCATCCTATTCTTTTGTGTGCTCTTTACAACCTGGGGGGTAGAGAGGACCTTCAACTTGGGGATGATGGACAGGATTTAGCCAACAGGGGGGGTGGGTGCGAAATAAAATCTAAATCCACAATATAATTGTGTATAATCTTGTCTAAGTAAGTAGATATGACCCCAAGAAGAAAGGGTTTACTTTGGGTTTTTAAATGTAAAATATATTTACTTTCAATCATCATTCGGTTTTAAAAGTAATTCGCATTATTTTAACCCATCATTTTCCATCACGAAAAATCATGTCTTTTATGCATTATACAGTTTTCGGACTTATGCAAACTCACACCCCGAAAATGCAGGAAATCGCATTTCAGGGACCCTAGATTTCAAAATATTCTGGGGAGCATGCCCCCAGACCTCCACTAAAATGGCTCCCGCCTTTTGCGCTGGCTACGCCACTATCTCTATACTATCTTCTTTATATCAATGCTATAAAATTTTATTGTCTCCCCAAAACACTTCTTCAAAAGATTTAAACCACTCTTTTTATTTTACACCTACAAAATATATCCCCCCCCCATTATTTTACCAGCCCCCCCCCCCAACCGATATAAATAATGAACCCTAAGTATTTTATATTTCCCTGTTGAAAACGTATTAACAGGTGTACAATTGACGTATTAAATTTGCAAAACACATAGGAGAACGGGGCTGATGTTTTCTGGGGGGGGGGGGGGGAGTTGAAAGTTTGCCCGAATTTTTATGGAGAATTTTAAAGAAATAACCTGATTTTAACATATTTTCTCATAAATCTGCCCGAATTTTCTTGATTTTTCCTAGCGTTTGCCCGAATTTCCATGGTTTTCCAAAATTTTGTGGGCAGTTGCCCCCCCCCCCGCCCCCCTGTCTCGTACGCCTATGTCAATAAGGCATTTACAACATGAACATAATACGAAGCCAAAGTGAAAGTGTGAAAGTGAAAGAAACTTTAAAGAAAGCGTGCTAATTCTCGTATTTTACTCGTATTTTACTCGTATGTACTCGTATTTACTCGTATGTTACTCATATGTACTCGTATGTTACTCGTATGTACTCGTATGTTACTCGTATGTACTCGTATGTTACTCGTATGTACTCGTATGTACTCGTATGTACTTGTGTGTTACTCGTATGTTACTCGTATGTACTCGTGTGGTGTTTTAGTCACGATCGTTCGTCACTTAAATTAACTGTGCTTAAATCATTAAAAGTGCTCTTAGGTCATCCGAATGGGAATATTGTGACGCGTAACCCTACAAACGAAAAATGGCTGGACCACAGTGACGAACGCCCTTCACACGTTTTCAAACCGTCGATGTTGAGCTTAATACTTTTATATAGTACATCATCAGAATCAGTATTTACAATTTTATATCCACGCACATTAATTGTTTGCAATTATCCTGTGCTATTTCCTGACGACTGACCAGTGACGATCATCTTTTGTATCGCTGCTAAATAAGAAAAAATAGCCACGATCGATGTTCAAGATTTATAGATCGAGGATTAATAGATAGCAACAATATTGAAATCAATAAATACTACGGTTTTCCACTGACTTGGTATTGACCAATCAGGTGATCGTATTCACCGTTCAGAATCTGAACGGCGTGTAGTCATAAAAGACGGGCTTTCCTTGCAGGCCCTTAATTCTCCCCCGGAGCACGCCAAAATCCTGCCCGCTGCAAATCAGGCCCCCCATAAATTTGAGGGTCTGCCGCGCAGGCTAATTTTAACCCAGAGTTAACACTAACCTAGCTTTGAAGCACCGAACCAGGTGTTTACGCCTGTGGTTTACACTAAAAAATCAAATTGAAAACTGTATGGCATCCTGGCGGATGGGATTTTAGCTTTGTCTCAATTTGGCGCCAATTTTCAGCTTTTGAAATAAACATTCATTGCATTTATTTTTATACTTACAAGCTTGTAAATAGCAATCGTTTTTATGTACTGACGGTTTTTTCCCGTGTAAAAATAATTTTTTGTATGTATATGTATGTATGTATGTACGAATTGAATTATTTTAACTTCAGCTGTACTTCATCCACGTCCCAGGGCTTTTCGGATGGTTGTACTTCCGATGAAAAGGACTTGAGTTTAGGGTTCGGAGCGTTCAGTATACATAAACAAACTGAGTCGGTGTCTAGTCATACTTACTAATAAAATTAAATAACTATATATTTTAAGATTAGAAAGCACAAAATGGTCGGGATAACTACTAGATTTAATTAAACACAGACACGGCAAATATATTCAACTTGCACTTTTATTTTCAGTATAATTCTTGAACATGCGAACAAAGTAAACAAACAAGTAAAGGCCGATTTTCATCTCGACAGTGGTCCGATTTTCATCTCCATGAGTGGAGCGGCGTATGAATCAATGTCGCTCCAACGTCGCATAATGCGACAAGCTCTGCCGAACTTGTGTCGAAGTTTTGCCGCTCCAAATTCTGCCGTACTTAATTGATTCATACGTCGCTCTTCTGCCGTACCTAATTCATCAATTAAGTTCGGCGCATGAGAAGTACGCCGTCTGAAACGGGCCTGAATTTTTCAAATTCAAATTAGCTATAACATATTTTTGACAAAAATAGTGAAAATTTCAATCTTAGTATTTTGATTTTATTTGTTCTAAGAGGGAAAATGGAAAAGGCGGCGGAGTAGGATCTTTTATTTCAAATAGTTTAAACTACAAACTACGAACTGACCTGAATATAAACGAGGACAGCGGCGGAAATCTTGGTCGGGCGGGGGGGAGGGGTCGACCGCCACCACCTTCACGGAAAATTGCCGAATTTTCGGAAATTTTGACCAAAAAGAGGGCTAAAAACAGTCTTTTTGAGTGCAAATGGGGGGGGGGTATGTCGGAAATTTAAAAGTTTTGTCGGAAATTTAGGAGGCTTTGCCCCCCCCACCGCAAAAAGTGAATTTCCGCCTCTGAACGAGGATGGAATAATTGAAACGCTTTCATTAAAATTATTTCAACAACTGGTAAAAATATTATCGTTGATACTATCTACAGACATCCAAGTGGCAATTTTGAAATGTTTGAAAATAAACTAAAATAATACAATACTAACGGAAGTTGACAAAACAAGGAAAATAACATATTTAACATTGATCGTTCGAAATCTGATAATTGTGAATGGTTCAGTTTTTTTTATACCCTGTATATCTTTTTGAAAACCCGCGGGCCATATCTAATTATTTACAAATATATATATATAGTTATCAATTACATTAATTTTAGTACGCGTATTTTTTGGTTGTCACGCAAAAATATAGCTAGCTTACTCTTGCTTTTATAATAGAGCGGTTATATACCTATTACATAATAATTTTCACTTCATATCATCGTATCATTCAAAAATATAACTTACGCAGGCTTTTATAGCAGCGCAGTTATATAGTTATTACATAATCGTTTTCACTTCGTATCATCGTATCATCGTATTAGCCAAAATATAGCTTACTCTGGGGGCTTTTAATAATAGCGCAGTTATATGGTTATTACGTAATCATTTTGACTTCGTATCATCGTATCATGATAACAAGTGAGGTTTTCAAAAGTGGACGGGTATTCTGCAATCGCTCCACGTTAGTTGCAAAAATCTTTCAGCCATTGGAAAGACTTTAATTAAAACGGAAAAAACACTATAAGCATGCAATTATTGCCTATTGATCAACATGTGTCGCAAGGATTAAGAGGATTAAGCGAGAAGTACAACACTTAATCTGACTGGTCAAAACGACATAGTACGCGACTTTTGATTGGATCGCTAATTTAAAATGATATTTATCATAATCAGCCCTAATGAATAGGACAAATAAGCCTACTATTTTTATTCACACTTTTGAGAAATGTAACTTTGTTTGATTGACATCTTTATTTAAAACACGAGATCCGTTTCGCAAGTTTTTTAAAACATGTCATCATCGCACTGTTTCATTGTCATGCTGATTAAAATCCATTGTTTGTATCTGAATATCATTTACTGAAAAGAACCCATCTTACCCCTCTCAATCCGTATACGGCAGAATTACAAAATAGTATGTACATGATGTGCACTATCGCACAGCTGTATTGCACATAACACAACAAAGACGGAAATCGTAGTGAGTCGGAATCTTGAGACATCCGACATGCATGATGAATGAATAACAAATTTAATGTTGTGCGAGTGGAAATAAGCGTTGGTAGCACTATATGATAGGTTACTGACGAATTTGAACATAACAATATTTTGATCATTCATGGCGCATGTGATTTCTAAGATTCTACATGTGGAAGAACATTTGGACCTATTGAAAATTCGACTATAACCCCAAATTTGGTCATTCTCATTTGCAACGTTTTGACCACAAAGCTATATGAACGGCACATTTAGTGACAGCATTAAACATTATTTTTTGCTAATTTACAATATATTCCCGAATGGTGCTATGTCGAAACTACTGGGCTTACAACGATCTCGAACACGGAGACACTTAAAAGAGAAAAAAAGGATCAAGTTGTCTTAAAAAAATAATCACCGCAATACTGCATCAGGTCGGGGCGTTGGTTTAAAATTTCTATATCGTCGATTTCACGAGCAATCAAAAATAAGTTGTTATCAGGAAAACGTTTAGAATTTTGACAACAAGTACGAAAAATGTATTATTCTAGAAATGTATTAATAAAAAAAAGTGGTATTTTCAACTATCGATCCACGACTTTTAACCCACGACCTCGACCTTTGAGTCTCGATCCTCGCCGACATGGACATGACCCTTGACGATTACCCAAGCTCGTCCAATGGCAATGGAAAACGGGCTTTACATCTTATATATACGAAAATTATTTGCATCACCGCCACTGGATGGTGCCGTATTTGAAACTATTTTTAAATTTCTTATTCCAGAAATGAACTGCTCGGAATACTAACAGCAATCGAGAAGTTTATATCCCATAAAATAACGGAACATTTGCAGCAGTTACGGCAAGTCAGATATTTGAACGTGTGGACACGAATTCGGATGGGAAGATATCTTTAGAAGAGTTTATTGACGGAGCCAAAGTGGATATCGACTTAGCAGCCATGTTGGATAGAATATGATAACCAAGAACGACCTTCACAATTATATATCTGATAAAGCAGCTCCTGCTCGTGTTTTAAATAGTACTTAAAACAATCATTAATAACTTCTTATTAACCGAACGCGAGGTAATATCGGACCGAGGTTTTTTCTTTAAAGACCAAGGTCCGATAATTCTCTGTACATACCAAGTAAGCGAGGTTAATAAAAAGTTTATTATATGGCATTAATATAGGCATTTGTATGCGTGTAATAGTTTTGTTTGTGGAAACACCACGTAAATTTATTACTGCAATAAATTATTATTTATTTTTATGGTGGTGTTTCCACAAATAAAACTATTACATATCGCCATGCAAACTTACAAAGAACTTAAGAAATGCATGATTTGAAATTAGTAGCCTGGTACACATTTGGTCGAAGAAAACAAAAAATACCAATGTTTTCCTTCTTTTCCACTAAAAACCATTCGCAGATATCTCATCAACGGATATTTCATCAGCGGTATCATGACTGCATGAGGTTTATTGCCATGCTGTTTTCTGGAAGCTCTTCAGCCTTGCGCTGTTTACGTTTCTTTTTGTTTTTTCCTCTTCTATCCACGTGATGTTACTTCCCAGATCGTCTTTATTCGAGTACATAATAGGCGAGTTTACGCATGCAATGTACGACGGCTAAACAAACTTTTTGAAATAAATAATTGTATGAAAATGTTGTCCTGTGTTTACTTTCTTGTGAATTTAATACAGTTTAGAACGAGTAAAACAGAGCTTTAACCTTCAGAGCAATTTTGATCAACGCTGTTAGAAAAATCGCCTGCCACGGCTTGAAATGCTAGCGTACTTTACAAGACCTGAAAATATGCATTTTGCCGTCGTCAACAGAGCATGGACGACGTCTGAAACTCCGAATATACTTTTAATTATTCATTTCTTTTGTGCTATAGGAATAATGATATTGTATTGATTGCGGTCGTCCTGATCTGCCGTTTTACATGCGTAAACTCCCTAATGATTGGTGCCCGGAGTATTGCTACTATCCTCCTGTATTATTTTGATTCCTGTAGTCAGACTAGATTTCTCGTTTTGAAAAATTACCGCAATATATGAATAATTTAGACATTGTCCTCGCTCTGTTTACAACGCCAAAATACAACGGAATGCAACTAACATCATATGCATCAAATGCAACTAACATCATAACTTTACAAGTCGTTCTCAGCTTGACCTTGTAGCTCAGACGGTAGAGCATCGTTCTAGAAATGCGAAGGTCGCGGGTTCGAATCCCAGCCGCGGTCAAGTAGAATTTTCTGCTTGCCCGGTTTGGTATACACTCGTCTGAAAATAACTCAAAAACCATATATATATATATATATATATATATATATATATATATATATATATATATATATATATATATATATATATATATATATATATATATATATATATATATAAATCGCCTGATGATCGTCTAGAAAGGACGTGAAACTCAGAGTAGCGATATTTAATTTTAAGATATAGACAATCTCTATATATATATATATATATATATATATATATATATATATATATATATATATATATATATATATATATATATACAGGGTGTATCAGAAAAAGCGCAATCCTCGACTGAAATGTAAATTGCTAAACAAATAATAGACGAAAACGTTAAAGTTTACATTCATTTTAAAGCGTAGCCATTCAGCTTTCTAACAGTGGGTTGTTTCTTAAATTTGAC